TGCAACTGACATTCCAACTGCCTTGCGGGGAGGGGGGTGAGTTTGAGGTGTGGAATGCAGTGAAGTCCAATCAGCTTCCATATGCAAAAGACCTTGAAGGTTCCATATGCAACTGACATTCCAACTGCCTTGCGGGGAGGGGGGTGAGTTTGAGGTGTGGAATGCAGTGAAGTCCAATCAGCTTCCATATGCAAAAGACCTTGAAACGCTGGGCGGGACTGCACAAAGCAGCCAGTCAACCCAGCCAGCGTCTTCTGACTGACAGTTCAAGCGTCCATACACTAAAGGAGTGCATTTTATATATAAGGAGAGATTGTTAAGAAGAATAAACAGCCGTTGAAGCATCTATTGCCACTCAGAGAAACTGCACCAGTCAGCAGAGGTGGGTGAAACTGACAAGGATGGTTAGAATAGATTCTCTTTCTATCAGACAAGAATCTCTCACAGAAAATAGGCAGCCTAAGGAGCTTACATTGTTCCTGAGAAATTCATCAGTGCAGAACAAGACATTCTGGGGACTATGCCGGCGGCTTCACCACTTGTCTTAAATGCGTTATCAATCTTATTCTCTCTGTTCTTCGTTTCAAAGAACTGTAGCCAGTGAGGGTATGCTGTTGTCTGCCTAGACTGAAGATGATGACAAAACTGCATTCTTGGGGGGGGGGGCATTTTTTTTTTAAAAAATTACCTTTTGGGCTTTTTTTTGGCTATTGCTACTTGCTATGACATAAGCTATAATATATTAATCAATATGGATTTATTAGGACCCAATTACGCCTCACACATTTCTCTTTAAGTAGCAAGTATTTGTTTAGGCAATTTGTTTTTGATGCACGATTTTAACAAAGAAAAGGTTATTCCAGGATTTTGAGGGGGGTGGGGGTTGCAGGATGTATGTCTGTCGATGCATCTTTACAGTGGTCCACTATTGTGGCAATGAGATTTTTCAAGTCAGAAGGCTGCATGAAAGCAAGAAAGTCTGCATAGCATCCCCACCAGGTAGGAGGCATGTTTGCTGCTAGAATTCTTGAGAAATAGAACACAAGGCTCCAGGGAAGTGGAAACTGGCTAGACATCTCATAGCCCATAGGGACACAAGCCAGAGGAGGATTTGCTTCCTCTACCTCCTGGAACTGGGCACTTATTACTGGATTAGGGAGCTTGGCTGACAGTATGTGCTGGAACTTAGTATCCTATAGCACAGCAGTGGCAAGGGCACTGTGGGTAGTATCAAGGCAGTATCCAGAGGTTGCGGCAGAGGCTGGTAATGCGTGCAAACACTCCAGTAGCAGTCATATAATAGCACATTAAGGAGAAATGCAAGAGAGAAGTAGGTGCATGTTTTATGTAAGGCAATGAGAAACATAGCATAGTAATATGGCTGTGCCAAGGGCTGAGTCAGGATAGGCTTTGTTCTGCTCTTGCCCTATGTTTGCTAGAGGTTGCAGCTTCCTCATGAGTAGGTAACAGAAAGCAACTGGAGCTCACCAGTGGGGCTAATCCAGGGCATGGCAGGGCTGGGCTGGAATGTCAGTCAGGTAGCTGGATCAGAAAGTTGGTAAGAACTGACTGCCAGATGCTGTTCTGTTGAAGCAGATAAATCACCAAGTTTCCTAACCAGTGCTGAGCCTTAAATAGGGCAAAGGCAGCCCTGCCCTTCTCATGTGTATTCTCTGGGGCCTGATTTTGTACGGAGCTAGCTGGGTTCTGATTCTGTAAGGAGTTATGAATCTGGGAGCAGCAATTGTTGTGTGATGCAACTTGGATGCACCTCCTATGCAGCTGCACACTTACCATATATGCCAATCATAGAGATCATAGAATCATAGACTCATAGAGCTGAAAGGACCTCAACGGTCATCTAGTTCAACCCCCTGCAGAAATACCTCCCCCCCAACAGCCCCAGTGATACCTGCTCCATGCCCAGAAGATAACAAAAAACCTCCAGGATCTCCAGCCAAACTGGCCTGGAGAAAAATTGCTCCCTGACCCCAAAGTGGTGATCAGCATTTCCCTGGGTGTGCAAGAAAGGGACACAAGAACTAAGCACTGAGGCAACCCATCCTGCCCTCCCTCTCATAATCTGCCTAAGATCACAGAATTAGCATTGCTGTCAGATGGCCATCTAGCCTCTGTTTGAAAACCTCCAAAGAAGGAGAGCCTACCACCTCCCAAGGAAGCCTGTTCCATTGAGGAACCACTCTAACTGTCAGGAAGTTTTTCCTAATTAGCTGGAAACTCTTCTGATTTAATTTCAACCCATTGGTTCTGGTCCAACCTTCTGGGGCAACAGAAAACAAGTCCGTACTACCCTCTATATGACAGCCCTTCAATTACTTGAAGATGGTTATCATATCACCTCTCAGTTGTTTCCTCGCCAGGCTAAACATACCCAGTTCCTTCAACCTTTCCTCAGAGGACTTGGTCTCCAGACCTCTAGACCTCACCATCTTTGTTGCAATCCCCTGGATGTGTTCCAGCTTGTCTATATCCTTCTTAAGTTGTGGTGCCCAAAACTGAACACAATACCCTAAGTGAGGTCTAACCAGAGCAGAATAAAGTGATACCATCACTTAGCGTGATCTGGACACTGTACTTCTGTTGATACAGCCCAAAATGGCATTTGTCTTTTTAGCTACCGCATCACACTGCTGACTCTACTAAGACCCCTAGATCCTTTTCACACATACTACTGCCAAGACAAGTCTCCCCTATCCTATAATTATGCATTTGATTTTTCCTACCTAAATGGAGAACTTTACATTTATCCCCACTGAAATTCATTTATTTGCTTTAGCCCAGTTTTCCAGCCTGTCAAGATCATCCCATATCCTGACTCTGTCTTCTACGGTATCTGCTACCCCTCCCAATTTAGTATCATCTGCAAATTTAGTAAGCATTCCCTCTATCCCTTCATCCAAATCATTGATAAAGATGTTGAACAAAACAGGTCCCACGACAGATCCTTAGGCACTCCACTTGTCACTCCTCTTCAAGAGGATGAGGAACCATTCACAAGCACTCTGAGTGTGATCGGTCAATCAGTTACAGATCCACCTAACAGTCATAGGATCCAAACCACATTTTTCCAATTTGTCAACAAGAATATTATGTGGAACCTTATCAAAAGCCTTACTGGAATCAAGATAAACTATGTCTACAGCATTCCCCTGATCCATCAAGGTAGTAATTTTCTCAAAAAAAAGAGAGAGAGATAAAACTAGTCTGACGTGACTTGCTCTTGAGAAACCCATGCTGGCTCTTAGTAATCAGCAGGGCTTTCTAAGAAGCTCCTAGATCAGAGACTGGATGATAAATGGCTGAAACAGGGGCTGGACAGTTTGAGCTCTCTTACAGTTTGCTCATTAGAGTAGGTTTCTCTACCAAGGACTTTGAATGCAGGGGCTGAGGTACTTGGGAAGCCCTGGAACAGCTCATGCACTCCTGATCCTCCAGTTATTCATTAGAGGAGAAGTCTGATTTCATGTCATCCTGCTCCCCTTCATTTGAACAGTTTGTTCCATGGTCTAGCTGTTGTATGGAGAATCACTTGTGTGAGTCAACGGTAAAAAATAAATTTGTAATTTACAAAACTATTAATCTATAATACACTTCATGAGAAGGACCATTTGTTAATTAAATAAGTCCCTCTTCATTTTTGGGATGCATCAGGACCATCAAGTCATTTTTAAATCAAAGGTATTCCTGGTCCTAAGGTCTAAGACATAATGATTTTTAAAATTTTTATTCAAAACATACAGATAATCAAAGTGAGAAAGGCACTTCCACTACCCAAAGTTGTAGGGCTCTTTAGGGGGGGCATTAAACTTGGAGGTGCCATAAGAATCTGTTACAACTCCATTGGGACTTGGAAAAGTATCATGCTACAGAGCCATTATGGAGCTGCGGTGGCTCAAGTGGTTAAGACGCTGAACTGCAGGCTGTGGAAGGTCAGTAGTTCAGCAGTTCAAGACCCGGGTGCCACAAGACGGGGTGAGCTCCTGTCTCTAGTTCCAGCTCCTGCCAACCTAGCAGTTCGAAAGCAAGAAATTGCAAGTAGATAAATAGGTACCACTTCGGTGGGAAGGTAACAGCGTTCCGTGCACCTTGGTGTTTAGTCATGCCGGCCACATGACCACGGAAACGTCTTCGGACAGCGCTGGCTCTTCGGCTTTGAAACGGAGATGAGCACCACAACCCTAGAGTCAGATTCGACTGGCTTTTGAGCAAGGGAACCTTTACCTTTACCTTACAGAGCCATTAGACAGAGAACATATCCTTCAGCTGTCTAAATCCTGGTAGTTTATGCTCACATAGTTATTTAGTTTATCTAAAGTTTTTCCTCATTTCTGGTTCTTTAAATTTAATAAAGTTGTAGTCTGATTTTTATTCCATCCTATCTGCATCTCATCTGGTTTCTCTATGTGAGCAATAATACATCTGGTGCTTACTGCCAGAAACACAGTGTTGTGTCAAATGGAACATTAACAACAGCCAATATATTTATTCTGCTTAGTATAACACCTATTTGTTTTATCTGTAGTTTGATGTAGAAAAGATCTGAATACACATAGGCTGCATCCACACTTCACTGGATATTTTGCTATCGTTGCAGTACAAATATTAGTTTCCAGCTGGATTGTCTTGTGCGGACAAGACAATCCAGTTTTGAATTATCGCCATGCACAACAATAGCACAATATCCAGTGCTATGTAGATGCAACCATAGTGCTAAAAGAGGACTCACCAGATAATATTTCAATACAAGCACAAGTGATCTTGCTGACGTCTGTGCTGTGCTTTGCTTGGGAAAAGGAAGATGATCTAGAAAAGCAGATCTGTCAGTCAAAATGGTTTTGCTCCATTCAGCATGCAGACAGAAACCTTTCAATAACTGCTTGATCTCTGCAGAAAGTTTTCTTAAGTAAAATGTTTGCATCCGAAAGGCCCAAACACATTCTCTACCCTGAAATTATTATTCACAGTATAATAATCCTTACCTGCTCCAACAACTTTGTCAATGGCAATACTAGTAGCATCTAGCTCCTTTGCGAACTCATGGACGGCTTGATTGGGATCTTCATAGGTATGTGGATCCACGTATGTTCTGAGGCCTGGAAGTTTTACTGTTTAAAAGATAAAAGTAAGAGTGACAAGTGAACCTTCAGTAAAAGAGAACTATATACTCAAAAGTTAATAGATGTATTAACAAGCATGCATTGTAACAAAACAAACCCCCCACTATAGTGAAAGGTGCAATATTACCTGGGATCAAAACATAACCTAATCTCACTGTATAATAACATCAGCAAAATAATATTTATTACCCAGATCATTCAGGATAGAGGAAAAATAATAATCTTGTCTTCTCTTTCAGTTTCTGGATACTTTTTTTAATGGAACAAAAAACATGTTTATTTCTTCTAGATTTATTTGACGATACACCAGAACAGAGTTCAGTACCGCTTAAATGCCTATATGTTATTTATTATATTTCTATTCCAGCCTTTTCCTCAGGAGCTCCTGTTTTATCCTTGCAACAACCCTGGGAGGTAAGCTGAGAAAGACTGATTGAACCCAGGCAATTTTATGGCTGAGTAGGGATTTGAAGTCAGGTGTCCTCAGTCCTAACCCAGCACTTTAACCACTATATCACACCTGTTCTCCTTAATTGCTTTTATTTGTCCTACACAGAAGAAAAAAAAATA